CATTTATGATTCAATAAAATAAACAATTAAAAAGGTAACGGATCATTGTAAATTTTGGTTTATTTACATAATGATTTTAATCTCTGCCTGTCCGCCCCCGAGCTGTTGGCTTTCAGAAACTGTGGCCCCCTGAGCAGTTTAGTTGAATAGCCCTGCTTTAAACTGTACAGTTGCAGGGATGAGTTTCATTTTTTTTTTGCAGTTATGTGAACAACTGTGTGTGAAACAGGTATAGTGAGAATAGTACATTAGTTTTTTCTGCTTCAGGCATAATTCAATTATATCTGGCCAAAGGAGTTCTCCCACAATTATGTGAGGCATTTTACTTCTAAAAACCTGCTAAACCAGATAAAAGCTGTCAGTATATTTTTCTTTCTTTTCATTCTCCACTGTAGCATGTTAACAGTGTGCTTCTCTTTAAAGACATTTTTTCATTTTATTTACATTTTTGTGGCTCTGTTAGTGCTTTTGTGCAGTTTGCTTCATTTACTTGCAGCCCCAAAACATCTCTTTTTAAGCCCAAATTTGATAAGACTACCATAGTATTTTTGTAGAATTTTTTTACACTGTTTGGCATGTCACTGAATGAAATGATTGCAGAATTACTACATTAGACATTTTTCATCAAGCAGGGGGCTTTTTATACATGTTACTTTAAATTCATTACCAGCAGAACTTGTAGTGATAGTAGATGACCCAGTTAATTATCTTAAAGTGTTTTACAAATCATGGTGAAGTTTTTGCTAAGAATGCCTTATACCATTTTAGGTATGAAAGCCACTCCACAGTCAGATTCCAGACTATATAATTATGAGTTTAATAAGGTGAACATTCAGGACCAATGCTTTGTTGTTATACTGTTAGAGTTTTTCTCATCTGCAGGTTATGAGCATGCTGCCTGATGCAGTTACAGGGAATTATGCAAGATTTGTCACCTGACAGTAGATTTATAATTATATTAGACCAAAACAAAAAATGCTTCATTTCATTTTCTCACTTGCACAAATCAAATTTAGTGTTTCTGCTCTCCATGGTTTCCATAAACAAAATCTACTAATAGTATAATCCAATCAACTACAACAAACCACATCTGTTAATTACGGTAACACGAGTCATTTTACTGCTATGTTGCTCTGCTGGAACAT